CCTCTTTAAAACCCCTCCTACCCTTACATGAAACACCACCCCCCAAACAATCAGAACAGAACACACCTCCACCAAATAAGGACACACCTCCACCCAATCAAGACACAGCCAAGCCCCCACCCAATCAGTTCAAACCCCCACTGGCAGTTAAAAGGAAGAAACAGCCGAGATCTCACATTACTCCTGGAAACACCAAGCCTGAAGTAGCCTGAAGCAGCCTGAAGATGACGAATGAGACTTCGTCGAAACGTGCCAAGACATCTCCAATTCTACACGGGAGAAAACCCGAACAACTAGAGACCTACACACACACACACACACACACACACACACACACACACACACACACACATATATATATATATATATATATATATATATATTGCATTTGTGCTGATAGATAAATAAATAAAATTATCAGTACAAAGGCAACATAAATGTAACAAAAGCAACATTAAAAAAATGACTTTCTGCCTGGATGGCTCCTAGGGTGAACCTAAAGACAGAAAAGGGAAGCAGTATGCTCCCTCCCATATTTGGGCATACCAGGGGTTGTGCCACAATACACACATACACACACACACACTCTCACATACATATACATAAAATTTGTTTGTTACAGGTTATCAATGTTAACAAAAACAATAATAATTGAAAAAGTCCATGTTCTAGACTTCTTAGGTTCCATGTTGTTCTGTGGACAAAGTATAGTTAGATTTTAGTAAGGCATTTGACAAAGTAGACCACAACATACTTCTTGATAAGGTAGAAAAATGCAAGATAGACAGCATCACTACCAGATGGATCCGAAATTGGCTGACAAGCTACACTCAACGTGTAGTCCTTAATGAAACTAAATTTACATGTAGTTACTTACAACTACTTACTTAAACTACATGCCCCAAGAGTCTGTTTTAGGCCCAGTACTCTTCAATACCTTTATAAACGATTTAGATGAGAGAAGAGTTCATCAAATTTGCAGATGACACCAAGCTTGCAGGAATAGCCAACAGCCCAGATAGATCTTGACAAGCTTGAACACTGAGCCCTATCTAACAAAATGAAATTCAGTGCATAGAAAAGTAAGGTTTTGAACTTAGGCAAGAAAAAATAAATTTACAGGTACAATTTAGGTGAAATTTCATTCAATAGCAGCAACTGCAAGAGGGATCTTGGAGTCCTAGAGGACAACTACTTAAATATGAGCCAACAGTGTGCTGCAGCCACCAAAGAAGCCAATGCAATCCTAGGCTGAAATAACAAAGGGATAGAGGCAAGATCATGTTAAGTTTTAATACTGATAAGGCCTTGGTAAGACCACATTTGAAATATTATATCCAGTTTCAGTCACCACAATACAAAAAAGATGTTGAGATACTAGAAAGAGTTCAGAGAAGAGCAACAAAGAGGATTAGAGGGCTGGAGGCTAAAACATAGAAAGAATGATTGCAGGAATTGAGTAGTCTAGTGAAAAGAAGAACTAGGGGTGGCATTATAGCGGTGTTCCAATGTTTGACAAGCTGCACACAATGGATTTGAGGAGGCCTTATAAGACAATGTTAAAGGTAAACCTGATGACTAATAACTATGAATATTCCAAAATATATTGATGCTGGTATAAATTTTAGCAATTAATCAGGTTATCCAGTTAACTGATATGGTCCTTGCTGGTTCTAAGGAATCTATCAAAGTCTATAAAAAGGACATTAACTTGGTGTTTGCATTTGTTTAAATATGCTACAACAATTATTCAAAGAAAAATCTTTGTTAGTAGGATGCATTTTTTTCTGTTTATTTCAAGCTTGAACATATGGTTTACATTGTCTATGACTCTGTAAAGAAAGAAAATGTAAAAATTGTTACATTAATATATGTATTAAAAGAGATTCCTAGATTAACGTATTTTAAGAATATATATATTTTAGCATTTAAATCTTTAAGAATATAATTATTCCTTTGGACAATGTTAGATTGGGAACCTATAGTTTAAAATATTTTAAGAAATAAATAAAGCCACCTTTTGTGGGTTTTCTTCCAGGTCAGAGAATACATGCTGGGGAGAACCTTGTTAAAATGGAGCTATTCCTCTTTTTTACCAGCCTCTTTCAGAGATTTACTTCTAGCCATCCCCAGGAACATCTAAAGATGATCTGGACCCCACTCCTGTTTTTGGACTTATGTCGCCCCCATTCTTTACAAAATCTGTGCTGTGTTATGTTAATCCAACAGAAAAAATCATAACAAGGTGTTTCCTTAGCCTTCGAAATGGCTTTATTTTAACAGAGTGGCAAACTCTGACAACATAATTCGATATTTATTTATTTATTTATTTATTTGTCTCCCATCTTTATTCATATTATAAACAACCCAATTTGGTGAACATATCCAATACATCTTACTACTCCTCTTTTCTCCACAACAATAACCTTGTGTGGTGGTTTGGTCTGAGAGTGTGACTGGCCCAAAGTCACCCATGTAGTAGTATCATGGCTAAGGCGGGCTGGCTCTCTATATTATTTAGTTTTCAGATGTTGTTCAAAACCTAAATTGTAATGATCTACACAAAATCTTGCCAGACAGAGCACTTTGCTATCTGAATACGATATACGCTGCAAAGGGAAGGGCTGTCTTCACTCTATTTCTCACATACGTAGAATCTGAACTGAGTTGCCTCTTACTCCTCTGAAATGCACCCTTTCTCTCTTGGGAATCCACCTCCTTATTATATTTCATCACATCTATGTAGATTCAAAGGATATACAAGAATCAAAGAATATACAAGATTCAATGGGTTTGGAAACTAATATGGAGAAGATTGAATGATTTGAGTTGGAGAATTTAAAAAGTCTTTGCATTCTATGAAAACAATTATCAATAAGTGCTTCCAATTGAACATTACTTTATTATTTGTTAAATAACTCTTCTCAGTCTTCTGTCTAAGCTTGAAAACAACTGTTGTTCCTTTAAAACTCGCATTAACTTTAATATGGAATAGCATTGCCGTTTCATAAATGGACTTCAAGGTTATGTCTAAATATATCATAACATGTTCAGACGTGTATAACATCAAATACAAGGTATGAGTCCTCAAATTAGGTAGCTATCATCATAGATTTTTTTAAAAAATTCACCAAGTTCACTTAGGTTTAGCTAAAAGGCAGAAAGGGGTGTGGATAAGTCTGACAAACTGACAAGGTAATAATCTGGCATTCATGCTTTTTAGCAGAGTTAATGATGGTAAGTTATCCTCCAGAACATTTCCTTGAGCTGGAAACCCCTTGCTGTGTAACATCTTAGCTAGATTTGTTGCAATGAGACGGCTGTACCCTTTCCTACGATGCTTGGGCAAAGTGTAGCCATGGATCATAGTAGCAAATTGGTCTGTCAGACCCCAGGAGATGGGGCATCCATGTTCATCCAAAATGCACATGCTGGGGAAACAGCAAATGAGGTTGATGAGGTATTTCTGGCATTGATCACTTCCTCCTCGGGACCAGGTGTTATTCAGCAGACTTGCATGAGATGCATCAAGGGAAGTAAGTTTTGGTGCAGGAACTAACCTAAAAAAGTTTTTTGCTTAACATTTAATGTAAACAACTGTAAATGAATATAGGAACATGTGAGGGAATTGAATCCATTTATGTTTGCAAAGACATACCCAAAAGTAGGACTATTAACACATAATTTGCTCAATGGGAAAAATGAGGAGAAAAATATTCAGTTAGGGAGTCTTCCTTCCTCTCCACCCAAATATATATTGGTAATTACAACCTTCAGAGTAAGTTTATTAAAATTAAAAATTATCCTGAGAATTTCAGAAATTATTGGAGTAATAGGGGCAGGAGGCATCAGACTGCTGGAAATGCTTGACTTAATTAAAACTTTTATATCCACTCTCATAAAATTTTACTTTGACATTTACCAAAAAGGACTATTACTATTAAAAAATCCTTGTATAATAGAGTTAGACATACGGAAGTTGAACATCTGGAAGTGCATCTGGTTCTGGGTAGATTACCATTTTGAAAGAAGACAACTTCAAATTTACATGCTTGGCATCAGCAACAATCTTGGAAGTTTTGTATAAGCCATCCTGTAAACCTTTGTTCAGAAAAAAATATATTTTAAATAAAACATTAAACAAAACACCCTTTTTAAATATAATGAAAACTATTAATGATCTACAAAACTATTAATATCTACAATATTGTAATCTTGCTTAAAATACTTTGACATTTTTGGAAACTATTTTGAAATGAATAAAAACCAAAATAATTCAATTGTAGGTGACACTATGAAACCAAATCTACAGTCAAATTGGTATCACATGCTGGATTACTCAAATAATAAATTCATTCTTATTTGCCAGAAGCACCTAACACATGACTGAAAGAAATCCAGCAAAATAGTCATTCACAAAAACATTTGATTACCATAATTATTTGCCACTGTCAGTATCAACTCTTAGAGACTAGACAGATTTTGTCTATGACAATTTATCCCTAATAATTCAGGTTACCCAACCTTTTTCCCTTCCTTTGGTAGGCTGTAGACTGACCTTTTGCAATGGAGCTACCTCTATCCTTCTATCTAGCTGCTGCCCAATAAAAGTGCCTACCCACAAATATTCCACATATTGTTGGAAGCGGGGAAGTATATAAAGAACCTCTTCTTTGATAAAAAATAATAATGCTGTTAGTCTTGATGGTACATGGCATTGTCCAAGGAGTATAGAAGGATGCTCCAGAACAGAACATGCCCATCAATGTGTTATATAAATATGAGTTTTTTACACAGGAATTGAAGTAGAGAAAAGAACTCTACTTTCAAACAGGGTCAGAAGGGCATTATTGACCTTTCTTTTAATTATTTGTACCCAAAGTTAAATATCAACTAAGAATAGAAGCAATAGTCACTGGAAGCAAAGATAAGAAATCTACTATATTAATACAAAATTAAATCTATTGATAAAAATAAACACAAACTTATTGGAGTTCAGTTTTTTATCACATTTATTATCACTTAAAAGTAATAACTCACCAAGGTTTAAATATATGTTTTGTCATCCCTCAAAGAATCTGTGACATAGGCTACTACCTATTAATACATATTGTTTGCAAGGTCACTTAGATGAGCTGGGCGGTGTAGAAATTTGATAAGTAAATACATTCTTCTGGGAGTAGGGATATATAATTAATTTCAGAGGGATTATTATATAAAGCAGTACTCATTGCCACTTGAGCATAACATTCTTTTGTTTCCCAGCAAGGTTTCTCTAAGCCCTTAAGTCTTACCCTCTCTTTGTCCTTGGATATCAATTTAGGAGCAGTGGCAGAATTTGAGAGGTGGCACCATGTATTTATCTCCTTGACTTATTTTAGGAAAAGGCAGTCAGAAGGACCTGTTAGAAGCCAGAAAGGACAGTCATGGAGGCACATTGGAGAAGATATTTTCTGCTTCTCCTTTCTTTGGGGCTGGCCATAGAATAGTAATGAAGCACCTGAAGTGCTCTATCAAACCTCAGCCATTTTATCTCATTATAGCTCTGACTGAATAGAAAGAATGTCAGGAAACAGAGGGAAAGGAAGATACACTTTCAGAGTGCTAAGTCTCTGTGATGATTGGGATTCTGAAGTTAGCAGTCAAAGGATAACAACACTGGGCATGTCCTCCCGGTTTATATTCCAGCAGCTGGAAGCAAGTAGGATTTGGGAAGGGCAGGTTTAAGGAAGAATGAACATTCCATCCTGTAATAAGTGTCAGGATAATAAGATTAGGAATACGTTTAAGGTTAGAGTGGGCTAGTATTGATGGGATATACATAAACTGTAGAAATAAGCAAATCTCTTTTAAAACTCATTTTAAATTCTTTAATAGAAATCAATTTGTTTCTTTATTTCTGTGTAAACCAAGTGCCTATGCACGTGATGGCAAACCTATGCACGTGTACTACAGGTGGCACGTGGAGCCATTTGTTGGGGCACATAAGGCGTTGACCTGTCACCTCCAGCGTGCATGCACACTGGCCAGCTGACTTTGGCCTTCATTTCTGGCCATTTTTCACCCTCCAGAGGCTTCCCCTTCCAGTTTTCGTGTTGTGTTGTGCTTTGCAACAGCCGAGGATGAAAGAGTTCCTCAGGAGCGACACCGGCAAGGAAGGCCGACGCATCGGAGGGAGGCATAGCCCAAGCTCTCTGGGACGGGTAAGCAAGTGGGAGGCGAAGGTGAGAGAGAAGAGAGAGTGCTGGGCAGGAGCCACAGGAGGGGTAAAGCGGTGGCTTTTCTCCGCCCCTATCTGCAGAAGTATTCTCCCAGCTTCTGGACACAGACAGATGCTGCGAGAGGGCAGGAAAGAAGCCGGTCTTGGCAGAGACCAGAGAGCATATTTAGGAGAGAGGAGGCAGACTGGCTTGAAAATGGGCAGATGGTTTGCAGCCGGTGCATCCTTCGCTTTTGGGGGCACTTCCCTTTGCCCTGAGTGGTGGGGGCTGCAGTGTTTTCCCATTGTGGCATGGCAGAGGGCCGCAGCATCTTCATGCCCTGCTTGGCTTCGGAAGAGTGAAGCAAGTGGCTCCGTTGGGGCAGTCAGCACCCAGTGGGTCCCAGCTGAGGGAGCGAGGAGATCCTGGCTTGCACACAGGAGTGAGGGTGACTTTAAGCTTGCGGCTTTCTCAGCATCATTGCAAACCAGGCAGGGACGGTGGCTCCGATGCCCAGCACCTTCCACCGAACTTCTTGAGAGGCATTGCTCTCCCACACGCATTCTCTCTCTCTCTTGCCACACATGCCATGATTTGAGAAAGAGGAAAAGTGCTGGGCATCGGGGGCATTGCACCCGCAACCATCTGCTGGCCACCAGGGAGACCACCGGCGCTGGCAGGTGCTTCCTGGTGCAGGTGAGCTGCACTTGGCTGGGTGGGGGGGTCATGAGGCTTCCCCACCAATAGTAGTGGTTGCCTCCATTGCCTCTGAAGGTGGTGGGGGGTGACAGGTGCTGCGAGTGTGAGTGGAAGGTGCTGGAAGCCTCTGGAGGGCCTCTGGGGGGAGCATTTTCACCATCCCCAAGCTCCTAGAAAGCCTCTGTTGCCTGGGGAGGCCGAAAAATGGGACCATTGCAAACCAAAGGTAGGGGGGAGGGTGGGGTCGCATGTGCAGGGGGGTTGCACGTGCATGCATGAGGGTCGCATGCATAGGATTATGGGTGTGGCCTGCCCGCCCATGACCCCTCTGTGCTCCCCCTACTTTTGACACACAATGTCAAAAAATTTAGCCATCACTGGCCTATGTGCCTCAGAATTTTAAAAATGTTAGAACAAGATTTTAATGGTGGCAGTGGAAGACAAGGATGATAAAGGAAAAGATCCTCCATGCCAAGGAAGTATGCTATTGGCCCTCACAAGCTTTTCTCCTGTTTAGAATCCAAATAATATACTGTATTTTTCGGAGTATAAGATGCCAATATAAGGAGCCAATGTCGTGACGATACAATGTGCGGTCTCGACATCCGAGACTGCCATTGATACTTTTGCAGCTGAACGGTCCATTTGTACCTAAAACATCCTGCAGAAACAGTGATCAGGAAGACGAAGCCTTGCTGGTCTCAGGGACACCGCAAAGTCCCTGATTGACCCAAGGGAAGCTCTTCAAGCCAGCGGTAAACAAGCAGCCCCAGGCTGATGAAGTTGGGACGGCTCCGGAAGGAAGGAAGTGAAAAGAGAAAGTGAGTCCATCTGATGAGGTATTTTTTCTATTTTGAGAAAAACTGCCCAAAGAAACTTTTTTAAAGCCAAATTAAATCCTTAAGCAAAAGAATTAAGCGAAATAGTTGAAATTAACCTATATTGGGTTTTTCTTTGTAACTATACTTTGTGGATTGAAGTGCTTGCAACGTTTTTTGTTTCTCCTCTTAAAGTGAATGGATTAATTTTTCTTCTGTTTTTTGTTACTTTATTTTTTGACTTTTGAATTAAAACCTTCCTTTTAATTTTAACAATTCTTCGTATTACTTGTTATTAAATTTCATTAAAGAACTTTGTTTCCTATAAGCCAGAGATAAATATTAGAAAGTGAAAGGTAGCAACACTGCCACTCGGAGGTCAGAGGTTGGAGTTTTTGAAATAACGTACTTCTTCTCTTTTCCTCTTTGATCTTACTGACTTTGTAACTGAAGGGTTTGCAATTTGTTTACAGAAACTGATAAAGAGCCAAGGGCACGAATTGTTTTTGCAGGTGCTCTTTGAGAACTATTTTGCAGGGGAGAGAAAGGGAAAAAAACAGAACGCTTCTTCTTTGAAGAGCATAAAAGAACTTGTGTTTAAGTCAAACTAAAAAAAAAAAAAAAAAGAGGCCTGGAAGGCTAGAGCAGCAGTG